CCCCAAAACCCCAAAACCCCAAAACCCCAAAACCCCAACAAGATGTAAATTGGAAAATTGGAAAATTGCTGAAATTTAAATTAAATATACTTACTATATCATCTCATTTTGATACCTTTGTCTAGAGTGCGGCTCATATCTAGTAAGTCCTTGAAATTGGCCTTTTAAGGAATAGATGTATTGCCATTTAATCCAAAGGAAGTACTTTATGGTACTCCAAGTAAGTTTTAAGTTAAGTTGATCTGCTTGCTTGACGGTAGATTTATCATACTAGATGATTTTCCTAGCAAAGGATAATGATTTGAGTCGTGATAGCCGTTTTATTACATGAAAGGAGAATCTTTGATAAAAGCTTGAGGTCTTTCTTTATGGGTAGTTTCATTAGTCCTGTAGACTTACTCCAGTTTGAAGAACTAGTTCTAATTTATGATTTCTTAAGGAATGTGTTATTATGTTTTCATTGAGCTTTAAGCAAATTAATTCTAATTTGGAATAGACTCGTTTCCTCCCGACTATTGGTAAGTATTAGCTCTATTTGATGAATGCTCATTATTAATGAATTCATTCGCAAGCATTCTGCTTCTCAACTCATTTTAAATCATGCGATTAAATACATTCTTTCTTGACGCTACTTCGTTAAAGGAATTGGCTACTTTACCAGATTTCTGCATAGCATCATTATTTACTCTATCTTCATGCACTATATTTACCTAAGTCTAGCCTGAAGCCTGCAAAGGATTAAAGGAATTCCTGAGTATAGATTGATTCTCAAAGTTCTATTGCACAAATGACCCCAAACTATGAATACTAGATCTCAGTGCTGGCTCTGGTTCCTATTAAGGCATCTCATGAATTCCCTCATATAAGTTTGTATACCTTGAGTTCTCAAAATTTCTCTCTGACTTAATCTAACTTAATTGATTTGGCTACATAATTTTAAAGTGTTAAGACTTATTTCTTCTAATGATTCCTTTGTTATCTTCTTTATAGGTCAAGAATGCCTCTTTTGGTCTTATTCCAGCCACATTTTGATCTAGAATAGGCTTAACTTTATCATCAATAGGATTGTTTCTGTCAAATACTCGCAAGAAAGTGTTGTTATTTATCACATGATTCGTATTATCACTCTAATGATCCCTATAGTGAGTTGGCATGTATTTCCTTCTATTACTATTAGCAAAGATATCTGGACCCTCATACTTCTTTACTAATTGATTAAGACCTGAGAATACTTATTCTGATCCCTTTTGCTGATCTTGATCTATAAATTAATTTATCTCCTTAAAGGTCTGTTCCAACTTTTAATTGGATTTGGAAGTATGTTGAGTAATTGCATAATCTCTGTTAGGATGAGACTATTAGTTTAGCTTAGATGTGTAGGTACCGTAATTGGTTTTAGCATTCTGCTAGTGAGTCCTCCTTTAACTCATTCTTTAGAAAGGGGACAAGTTAGTTTAAAGTTATTCCATTGAATTTTGGGAGTTTGTCAATTTAGAATTTAACTAAGGTTTTTCATACACATATTGATACATCTATTGAAGTTAATGCTAAATTAGATTACTCTCTTTTATGTGGACAGGAAATCTTAATTTTACTCATTTGCCTTATGATGAGTGCTTTTAAGATACTCTTTTTCCTTGATCTATAAATTTTTAATTGGATTGGCATTACTTTTTATAGGTATTCATTAGAAACTTTCTCACGTTCTTTTCTTGTAAGCATTTTATTAGATTTATATAATTAATTGATCCTATTACCAAATGATTGACAGACTGGATTTTTGGGGTTTTGGGGTTTTGGGGTTTTGGGG